GAGAAGGTGACGCTGCGCAGCTTCAACCAGCTCACGATGGGTGTGGACGGCGACAACGTCCAGTTCAACGGCGGCGTCGAGTGGGGCGTGAGCGTGAGCGACGACACGTGGCGGGCGCGGACGGGCGATTGGACCAAGTGCCTCGACGCCTACGACGCGCGCAACGGGGGTGCTGTGCACTTGTATCCGTGCGACGGCAGCAACCTCAACCAAAAGTGGCGCTACGACCCGGCGACCAAGCAGCTCAAGCACCTCACGCACGCTGGTTTCTGCCTCGACATGGGCTCGGAGGCCGGTACCCGCGCACACCTCTACTGGTGCGACGCCGGCAACGGCTTGCAGCGCTTTGATGCTTCCAGTGCGTTTTTCTAGTTTAGTTGGAGGGTAAATCATGTAAACGCCGTTGGTTCCATCGGTTGTGGATAAGAAGCGACCTTCTTCAGTTTGCCACCTTTCGAGATCATTGGGAGACTGGAGAAGGGCCGCCAACTTCGCTGGGCGCTGACAAGCCAATTGAACTTCGATGCCAGTCGCTACCGGTATGTAGGTGATGTGTCGCGATGCAAAAGATCAGCAAACCAATCGCGAGACATGGTCCTCGCGCCTTGCTTGCTACCAGTTAGTGCCGGTAGTCGCCACTAAATATGGCAGCAGGCGACTATAATCGGCGTATGCCACATATAATATCTAAATCAGAAATAACCATCCATGTAGGTCTCGAACGCCGACGTGAGATAGTACGCCTTGCTCTCCAGAGCATGTTCTATCCCTCTGCCAAGTTTGGGCGATTTCATTTTTCGACGCGATTGGGCTGGCCGACCGCCTCGGCATCAGCGAGGGCCACCGACGCGCGCACAGGATTGGCTGCTCCATTTATAACTGGCCAATCAAACTACGTAAAACCCGGGTCATCGAAAGCACCCAACCGTATCGGCTCGCAGAAGGCAATCTGCTCGCCAACTCCTGCTCAAAGGCGCTGCGCGAGAAACTGGCAGTGCGTGCTTGATGCAACCAAGCCGAGGGCGTCCTATTGCGACGTTGCCATACTCGCGCGTGCTGGCTGTGAGCCACATGCACATGTAGCTACGTCTACATGGCGACGCGGCTGTCGCGCAACGAGACGCCGACAAGCGTTCGCATCTGATCTATCTGGTCGTCGTCGTTCGACAGCCTCGCGCATTGGTGTGGCTACATCAACATCACTGTACGTTTCGCGATGGCTGCGTTCCTTCTTAGCGCGCTTGCTCTCGTGTCTGCCTCTCCCATCGACGACCGCGATGCGCTTCGAAAGGAGCTGTCCGCGTGGAAGGCCAGCGACGCCGGTGTCTACGCGGCCGCCAACGGTCTTCTTCGCAAGCACCTTGACGGTGCGAGCGAGGACGCGGAGCTCGCCGTCTTCGCCGCCAACAAGGCTGCAGCGGTCGCGCTTCAAGAGGCGCACCCGCTCGCCGAGTTCTCGGTCGACACGCCGTTCGCTCTGCTGACAAGCGACGAGTTTGCCTCGCATGTCGGAACGCCGTCGCCTGCGCGCAACGCATCGGCGCCGTCCGCGTCGTCAGAAGGCATCTCGGTTGCAACGAACACGGTCGACTGGCGGACGTCGGGCTGCGTCGCGCCGGTCAAGACGCAAGGCGGGTGCGGCTCGTGCTATGCGTTCTCTGCCGTGGCGGCGACAGAGAGCGCGTACTGCCTCGCGCACCATCGCCGGCGCACGCTCTTCTCCGAGCAGCAGACGACGAGCTGCGGGCCTGGCAACGGCTGCCAGGGCGGCTTCGAGTTTGACTCGCTCAAGTGGATCGCTACCAACGGCCTCTGCACGAGCGAGGCGTACCCGTACACGAACGGGCAGAGCGCGGCGGCGCATCCGTGCCAGTCGACGTGCCAGAAGCTTCCGATGCCGTTCCTCGACGTGCCCCTCGTCCGAGGCGAAGACGCGCTCGAGAAAGCGCTCAACACGCAGCCCGTGGCCGTGGCCGTCGCCGCGGGCAACAGCGCGTGGCAGCTGTACAAGCGCGGCATCTTGACGGGCGGCTGCGACGGCGACATCAGCCATGCCGTCCTCGCGGTCGGGTATGGTGCCGCCGAGTCGCCGTACTTTATGATCAAAAACTCGTGGGGCAATCGGTGGGGCGAATACGGCTTCATGCGTCTCCAGCGTGGCGTCGGCGGCCACGGGTTGTGCCGCATCGCCGAAGACATTTCGTACCCCGTGCTCCGCAAGCCGCAGTTCTACCTCGTCACCTCCCACGGCCACGTCATCACCGAATTTTACTCGGACCTCTACGCGTCATCGTCGACCAAGTCGGGCGCGATGAACGAAGAGTGGAGCTACGACTTCACGACGCGCCAGATCATCGTGCACTCCAACTACGAGTGCCTCGACGCGTACAACGACGGCGGCACCTACCGCGTCCACACGTACAAGTGCGACGCGAGTAACCCGAACCAGCGCTGGAGCATGGACAACTACCGCGTCCAG